CAGGAGCCTACATGGTCACATTCCATCTTCCACTTCATCTGATGCCCTTATGTGATGCAAAAACTGTGTAAATATTGCCCTAAATTTGGGAACATGATAATACTTGACTGAGCACTTGCCCTTCCTCCAGGAGCCTACATGGTCACATTCCATCTTCCACTTCATCTGATGCCCTTATGTGATGCAAAAACTGTGTAAATATTGCCCTAAATTTGGGAACATGATAATACTTGACTGAGCACTTGCCCTTCCTCTGTCTGGGATCTGCCTGAGCTCAGACACCTCCCCTGCTCTGCTTTCACTACTCCCTCTTGGAACCTGGTTGCAACAAAACAGTGTTTGGACCCCCAAGGCTTGAATTTTTGGGCTTATTTTGGGGAGCTGTGGAATTCAGTGGGGATGAGAGCAGCCTGGGATCACCAGTTGCTCTGCCCAGTCCTGGTGGACTTAGGGAGTCTGTTTATAGCCAGCTAAATTTATCTGTAAAGCCTCTTAGGGGCCTGCTGGTATGCAAGTCATGTAAAGATGAACCAGCCTCTAGTGTGGAGCAGCAGCCCAATTAAAGGAAGACTTTTACTGCCCCCAAATCATCAATCCTGATGGTTGGACTTGATGATCTTGGAGGTCTCTCCCAACCTAAAGGATTCTGTGATTTCCAATCCTGAGCTTTGGCTTTTTTGGGACGTGCTGTTCGTTGAGAGGAGATCTGAAGCTCGGAGCAGAGAGGGGGTGAGGGGGTGGGTGAGTGGGTGTCCCCTGGGCTGGCAGCAGCTGCTCCCTGGGGTGCTGGCACCCTCAGCATCCTCTGATAGACCACGAGCACTGCCCCTGTTGCTCTCTGGTTTGCACTAAGATGCCAGAACAACCTCCTCGCGCTTTCTGCCTGCCTGGCCCGTGGCAGCTCGGATTGAATGGGGGAGTACAGCCCACCAGGAACCCTCAGGCTGCCCTGGCCTCGGGCTCACCCTCCCTGCTCTCCTTTCAGTAACAAACCCCCCCCGTGTGGCTTTGGATCACCTGTCTTCATAGCTGGCTGCTGTCTCTTCCTCATCGACACACCTCCAGGAACCGGCACCGCCTGACAACGGGACTGATGTCACCTTGAGCTTGATTCACTTAATTTTGACCCTGATTTGGAGTGGAGCAGTTGTTTTAAAAAAAACAAACAAACAAACCCAAACATCTGTCATGTAGGTTGTCTGAAATAAAACTCATTTAAACCCATTCTAGGGGATGGTTTTTGGTGTGTTCCTTAGGGTGACCTGCAGGAGGTGGGTTGTGCTGGCTCCAGACTTCACCCAGGTTCTGCCTGTGCTGCTGAGGGCAAGAACAGGCCCAGGCCTGAGGAACCTCATGGTAATGGACCAGGCCACCTTCATCCTTCCTGGCTGTGCACAGGCTTCTCTCTGCAAGAGATGCTTAAAATTAACCCCCCAGGAGCCCAGAGGGGAATGTGCTGCTCCAGCCCAGTGCTGGCTGAGCTGCTGTGTCAGGCAGGGATGTGTGAGTCTGTGCTAGAGCCTCAGGATCAAGGTGGGGTTTGGCTGGAGCAGGAGGGTAACACCAGCCCTCAGCCTGGGCCCTGGGAGCACTGGGGGGAGAGGCCTGGCTCCTGTGTGACAGTTATTCAGGAGAAGATTCACCAAAACTTGGTCAGGGTGCAGGATTTGTGGTTTCTGTAGTTGGAGACACACCTCTGAAGGGCCTAGGCCTGTCCTGGGTGTGTTTGAGACTTGGCTGAGTGGCTCACGACCTGCTGCCCCAGCTGCCAGGCCTGGAGCTGAGGGCTGTGGCTCCTCTGGTGCTCGATGAGATGTGACAGTGACAGGTTCCTTGTGCTCTCTGTCACCTCTGGGCAGCCTGGGGTGACAGAGCCACCAGCACCCTCACAGAGCCTGGCTGTGGCTGCTGACACCCCCCCTGTGCAGCTGCTGCTGGTGTTGCCTTGTGGCAGTGAATGCTCCCTCTGCCTTCACCCACTGGGGCATCTTCAAAGTCCAAATAAAACCACCCTG